CTATGGTCCGCTCTACTGCATTATACGGATCTGAATGTTGGCCGAGCACGAAAGGCGCTGAGCGTCAACTTCACGCTATGGAGATGCGGATGCTCCGGTGGTCGCTGGGAATCTCACGTCTGGACCATGTTTGCAATGAAGTGATTCGACGGCGCGTGGGTGTTGCACCTATCACAGAAAAAATGCGAGAGAGACGACTACAGTGGTATGGCCACGTCATACGAGCTGCTCCTGATACCGTCGCTGCCACTGCATACCGATTTGAAGTTGACGGCAAACGACCGCGTGGAAGGCCAAGAAAACGGTGGCAAGACACGATCAACGAAGACATGAAAACTGCACAGCTGCGCAGCGAAGATGCCCTGAATCGAACAAAGTGGCGCTCTTCGATCCGAACAACGGACCCTGCCCCAGCGGGACAACGTTAAGAAGAAGAAGAATCAGCACTTAAGGAAGCATTGAAAAAAATAGAGGAGTACCTGAGTGCAACGTTTGCGAAACCCCAGAAGCGACTACTAGCTTGCATTCGTTGTGGTGAAAGGCATTTCGGTATTGGGCTGTTCCATATTATTGTACATGATGTGAGTCAACTTATATATACATATATATTTATATAAATTCAATCGGCATTCTCGTTTACAAGCTTGAAATATATTGCTGTGTATATGTGCCCATAATTTTGGGACACCCTGTAGACCATACTCATGAAAGCGAAAGCGGTTGTTCTCCCTATTCTCTCCTTCCCTACCTTCCTCTACTTGCGCACTCCCTTCGGGCCACTGCAGCACCATGTAGCACAATCATGTAATCTGTCATGTAACACAGCACAATCGATCATGTTTATACAGTCGTTGTGGGCGACATCGGATAGTGGTATACTGAGTTTACCTTGTTCAAAAAATCGACCAAGAAGGGAACGGTAAATTAATCAGCTACATATAAATAGGGGAGGGGTGAGGACTGAAAAGCAAATTCGTCACACTGGAAATGTTCTCCCTCGCACTGCTGGTTTTCTTCCTAGCGAGTGTCATCGACGGACAAGGTACGTGCCGCTGATCTGATGCTGAAGCTGTATAAGCCATGATTCCAAAGTATTATCTGACAACGTGCGCTAATAATGCCCCAACAAATTTGACAAAGCTCCTTTTCAGAGACACCTCTGCCACCAGACATGAAAGAAGTGTTCATGGAGCTCAACAGTATGTACAAGCCAAGCTTGGTTAGTGATCCCCTGGATTTGTGTTAGCAATATGGATCTTCCAAGTACCACTCCACATAACTCATAAAAATGGTTCACAGGTATGGGATGACCGCTTGGCGAAAGAAGCGCTTGAAGAATCACGCCAGCCACATACTTTGAAAGCCGACGCGAAGGTCATGGCTACAAGGTTCGCACTATCTCTGTTTAATAGATTTTACATGACTTTTTACAAAACTATTTTATTTGAACAGGACCTTTTGGAAGAAAGATCAAGAACCAACGAAAGAGATGCTGGAAACCATGAAAGATCGTTTTGCTCAAAGAAAAGATAGGGTGGGTAGCAATCATTAGAAACGTTATTTCGCCATAATAGTCATTCCTATGTTGACAAGGAGCTGGCTCAGCTTACGCCAAATCGATGAGTAGAATTACAAGAATCACGAAGGGGGATACATGACCAGGCGCGTTTGAAGTATTCGGCAACATAAAGGATAAAAGGATAAAGCATTTGCCGTTGATCAATCCCTTTTTGGGATGCGGCACGCATTCTACTTCCATTTGTACATTCGTAGTGGCGTTTGAATGCGATGTGGCCTATACAATGACTTGCGGGGGCCAGCCGATGTACAAGTCAGTGTTTTTTATCCTCCCAGACAAGTCTGGTACCAATTAATCGATCCCGTAGGAGTGAAGGCTTCATCGGCCCCGGACGTACATCCGACCCAGAGATTCTGATCGCCCCGCCATTCGCGCTGTAAGCGTGCGGCACCTTACCCGCTACAACCGACTTTCGCCCTTCGGCAACAGCTGTTACTCCGTATTCAGTTTGGCCTAGTGATAAGCACAGCAGTGACATTATAAGCGGTAGGGTCGGCATGAGACAGACCAGCGGTAGTTTTTTTTTGGTATGGGCGAGAACTAGGTGTCGCACTGCGTAGATCTCCAAATAGATATGTCATTTCCTTCTACATTTTGCTGTGAAGAGCGTGTATACAGTCGTTACCAGTAGAAGGAAGTACACGTGAAATTTGGAGCAAATAAAACTGTTTTGCAGCTTGAGACTATCATATGCTCTTCTACTTAGACCCATGTGAAGCAGGCTGGCTCCTCACAACTTATTTTCAAACATGAGACTGTGGCTTTAGATGGAAGTAGATGTGTGGCGCATCTCAGACGGAGACTAAAAATAACCGGATTAAAGATTTTCTGTCTTCACGAAGAACACTTTTTTATTTTTTTATTAAAAGCCTCTATTCTGGTCTCCACAGGACGGAGTCCATTCAGTGTCCTGAAAAAATGCCTAATGGAACTTATGGCTGCTGGATGCAAAAAATCGCTTAGCCCACACATCTTCCTCATCAATTTTGTAGAAAAGTCATTTCACAATATGCTATATGAGTACAGTACTATTTTGAAGTACATTCGACAAACTTCGTAATTTCTTGAAGATGTTCGCGGAACGGGTCGCTTCCTGGCCCATGGCTGCAATACGATATTCAATGAGCGCAGGGTTGACACCCACAGACGACAGCCCTCGTTTGACATTTTCGGCATAAGCGACTAGACACGGTGAACACACTTTCGGAGTCAGCGTGGTTTATGATGTCCCCCCGCAGTTACGTACCACGCGCGACGCATTGATACGCTCTCTCTCTCTCTCTGTTGAACTCTCATAGGCTACGGAAACAACGAGGCTACACCAGTTCTCCAAAGCAGCAGTCCAAAAATGGACGCCGTCGCTTTCCCGACAACGGAAACGCTATACGCGTGCCCGCGGCTTTCAATAAGCTTATGCGTACTGTGCGAAAAAAGCGCGACTGCGCAAGAGAGTGGAAAAGCGTCAACGGCGCGCTCTGTGCGCCAACGTGCTTACTTCGCGCCAGTCGGCGGCTTCCGATCGGCGAATTCATTCTCATTCTTCTCATTCTCCTTTTATCTTTCAGGTGCTCCACTTGCCGTGTTGCTTTTGCTCGTGTTTTTGGCGAGAACCTTTTTCTTTTCGTGAATCATTGCTTTTCAACTGTCCTAGAATGGTTAGGTTCATACAGTGTGTTTGAAAGTGGCAAGTAAGCCCCAAGTGAGTTCATTAGTAAGCAAAAGCAGTAATCCATACAAAAAGGAAAAGTTTTGAGCTAAACAACCGCAAGAAAAAGCAAAACGGCACACAAAACGTCAAAAATAGAAAAAAAATGTATTGAAATTAGGATTATCGATCGGAAGGCGCCGACTGCGCGCCAAGTACGCATTGTGCGCCAGAGCGCGTGTTGACGCTTTCACTCTCTCCGCGCGGTCCGTACGACCTCAAACTATGGAAGCAGCTTTCCCGCGCAGGCAAAGGAAAATCGTCCCTAGGTGCCTACCCCATCCTTAAGCGGGGCCTCCGACATGCGTGCCATCCTCCACCTCCTACATGAACGGCGCTTAGTATAGTTGGCGAGTTTGCTCGACGCATTCTCTCCTCGTTGAGAGAGCGCAGAGAAAACGAGAAAGGGAGGAGGAGAGCACATGGAAAATCGATGACACGTGACATTGCGCGCCCCAGTGCCAACGCTTCAGCGCGTCAATGCGTCGCGCATTGTACGTGACTGCGGCAGGAACATCATAATTCACGCTGACTTCGTGTGCTCACCGTGTCTAAACCGCTTAATACGGCATTTTTGGGTGTGTGGACCGACGCAATTTTGCGAACGCGGCCCCCTCACCATTTGTGGATTTCGAGTGAGAATACAGGAAACATGGGCAGTTCATCTCAGCAATGTCTAATGCGCAGAAGTTGGGTGACGTTAATTGTTCAGAGGGAGGGATCAAGATGCGGAAGTTGGGGTGCTGAATAATGCTCCAGTGGCGAAAAAAGCAAAGAAATCCGTCAAGAACGCGCAAAATGGAAACCCTTTCTTTGCCCGTTGACCTCCGATAATGGACGAGTATTTGCTCGTTGAACTCCGATAATGGACGAGCTAGCAACCAATTAGGAGGTCGTTTGCACATGTTGAACCGATAGCCGCTATCATTCCAGCAAAGATCATGCTTTGATTGATGACGCATTCCATGAAAAGTTATAGGATACACACTCAAAGTGGAATATCTCCTCCAATGATAGAACAATAATGCTGCTAGCATTACACTAATGGGCGGAGCATAGGCGGCGGAGGCGGAGCTCATGAGACTACTTGAACTCAGCCTTTAAACCGCCTCTGCGCTCTCTCGCGGGTCCCTCTCCTCTCCAAGGCTTAGTCCTAGGGCATTCACCCGTTCTCTAATCGTCTGTGCTCTAGCCATCGCGGCAGGACCATTGAGGAAAAATCAAGTAGTCCGTAAACCCGGAGCTTATTGGGCGAAAAGGCTACATCGGCTTTTCTAAGGCACCTGGCTACTGGACACGGCCGCTGTACCTGTCCATGTCTTGCCACACACACTCTATAAGTGATCCCTCGTCTAAGTCAAGCCACGTACTTGCCATTCGAAGATTTCTGCACTCAGTCCTGCTACTCGTTTGTCCCAAAAAATAACCGCGTGAGTATGGTCCAGATATTAATCACGCTGTCGTCAAGATGGTAAGATTCAACAACTTTTAAAAAGTATCGTATAAAGACTGAGAGAACGATTACTCTGCTCTCACCTTTTTCTTTCTGAATCTCGAATCTTAATAGAAACCTACAACGCGAAACAACAACAGAATACTGGTTTCTTGAAAAAATGGATCTTGCTGCGACTAGTTCCTCAAGTCCCGGCTCTTACCTTTTGACGAATAATGTTGCCAGGTGTCAAAACTGCACGTGGCCCAAAGTTCAGTCAAAACTGAACTCTCTTTGATTATTCTCCTCATTTCTGAAAATTCTGCACCTCAATACGCGATACATATACACGCACATTTGATTCACCGGCAAACGGGCAACTCAGGAGGATAGCACGTATATCGCCTCACGGGCTTTTCATGGAGAAGATGGGCACTGGCTATTGGTGGAATTCAAAGATCGGAGTTAGGGCTGATGTGCCACATTTTCACTCCCAGGAGATTATAATGAGATATTACGTCTAGGTAAAGACGAACTTCCAATGTCACCAGATACGGTAATGCAAGTGGCCATCTGTTTCATCAAACAGACGCCAGCAAGTACCGAACTGAAACCATCCCGGCCACCGATGTTTTTCGGTTGTAAACCAACTCGTCTATTGGACTGGGGCGTTTTGTTTGTTTCCAGCGAACAGATTTGACAGAGCGATTGAGAAGGATTCAAATCGACTTTGTTTAACATTTGAATCTACCATCCTTATACAATAAAAGATTTCGCCATGCGCTTTCTGAAAGCGACTCCTGGTGTTCACGCAATTATCGTAATGGTCACAGTGGGAATTCATGTAAAGGCAAGATTTTCACTCATGATTTAGTCACACCGTTGGAAAATAAACAGTATCTGTGCTAGGGATGTGACGTAGAAGAAAAAAACCACTAATGAGGCGCCTAGGAACACCGTAAAAACGGAACCGCCTACTTCCTTCGTTAATTCACGTGAGATCGAGGGTTGAAAAAAACTGAACCTATCACAAAATTACATAGCTCCTGGGCAGGGCCAATCATGCAGTTTCCAAAAGTTTTACGACCCCCCATCTTCCAGAGGGTCCTGATACGACCCCCACTACAACCATCAGCCTTAGCAGACTCCCCCATGCGCAGCTCCACCCCAAATAGCACCCTTACCATCATAGATGTCTCTATAAGTATTTCGATTCTGAGATCAGTCGAAACAGGTGAATTTCTGCCAATTTATCCTTCAAAAACGTTCAACGACGGCTGTCGACCGGGGGGGGGGGGAAACGAAGGGATAAGATGAGATATGCATGTCTTACAAAATGTCAAATCGTCAAATCCTCGGTTTCCTACTTGATACTCCTTTCATGAAGTTTCCCTGGAATAGTTACCACACCCTTCAGCCACGACCCCTCCCCTCTGTTACCGCCGCGACCGGGTCTGGCCGAACTTGCCCAAAAGGATAACGACCTCTTTCTTCCACCTTCTGACCTTCACCAACCCAAAATACGACTCTCGCCCCTTGTTCAGAACTGCGCAGCGCACGGCTGGTCTTATCCCACAGATTTCAGCCAACAACACAGTGAAACTGGTCCGAGGGGCTCCCGATCACCGCTACATAACCTAAACCTTTGGCTACTCCTTTGATAACGCCCCTTATCAACTCTTACCAGAAGTTTTGGCACGCCCCATTCTCTATATCAAATCTCAAAATTAACTCCGGACGACTGCTGGTCTGCACGCTGTGAAGGCAGAACAGACGGAGGGTAACCACCGGTATTCACCTGTAAAATCACCTGTCGTCCCGTTGATCATCGAATTGCTCGAGCGGGCGCCAGCAACGTCTCCATTCGTCCCTGTCGCGTGCAAGAGTTGTCCAGTGGACCCTCCTCGCTCGAGGGACACGATGTCCTTCATTCCTTTCGTTCAGAGCTTTCGTGAAGAAGTCTGACCATCGGGCCGGCGGTCGTCCAGGTGTTCGTTGATGCGGTTTTGTTGGGGGGGGGGAAAAAAAACCCCGTCCCCCGCCCCCGGAGGGAGGCGCAGGGTCGAGAACCTGCCTGGTCCAGACGGTCATTCGCAAAAGGTGCGGCAGGTGACATGTGCCGGCCGGCACCTTGGATCGTTGCCGCGGATTCCGGTTGGGCGAAAGCGGGGCAGGCGGGGTGCGGCGGGCGACGCGTTGGCGAGTCGGTGTGGCAGTGTAGTGTTCGGCACTGGGGGTCGGGGCCGGATTCCCCTCGCACGTTGCGTGTATTAGGGTTAGGCTCCTCAGCGTCGTCCTCGGGGTCGACAGCGCGGTGTGGGATAAGCGGCGTACGCGGCATGCTCGGTCCTGCCTGCGCAGAGTCCAAGTCTCTGAGGCGTAGGTTAGGGCAGGAAGGACAGCGGAATCGAAGAGGTGGGCACGGAGCCGGATGTTCTTCGTCTTCTTCACTACTCCCTCGATGTTCTTGTACGCTCCCCAAGCCGCTCGTTTCCTCCTGCTCAGCTCTGGAGCTAGATCGTTCATCATATTGATTTCCCGACCTAGGTACACGTAGCTGGAGCATTCGGTGATGTTCGTTCCGTTGAGCGTGAATGGGGCATCAGGAACCAATCCGTTTCTCATAAACATCGTCTTCGTTAGGTTCAGCTGTAGACCAACCTTACCACAGGCGCAGTCGAAATCAGCCAGCACGTAGGTGTACACACAGAGAAATAATTGGCGAATTATACGTAGCAGTACAATCCTTATCCACGAGAATTTTCCCTGCGTAGTGGATGTAGTGTGTGGATGTGGCCAATATTCAGCCTAATTCTCAGCGCGAATTATCAGAAGCAAAGTCTATCTGTGTTCCAAAAATGGTAAGGCACATGCGCTTCCGTCAGCACAACAGGTAAGCATCGGACAAGAAAACTGTACTCAATTATTAGATATGGATGTCTTTCCGCAAATCCAAAATCCACTTCGGTTCTATATGAATAGCACTCCCCCCAAATTAGATTTCACGTGTCATGAGCCATTGTCCCTCTCATCTTTAGAGGGTGGAGGGGACTATCTGCGAGAACCGAAAGACACCTTCACCATCAGCGGTCGAAATGCCGGCTCTACGACAACTCCGTCTGCTCATTCCAGAATGGGAGCGCTGGCCATATCTGAATGTTGGGAAACGGAGTTAGGCGTCCCCAACTCGTAACTACCCTAAAATCCCATAGATAAGAGCGGTCCATAGATATTTTTTCAAAAATAAAATAAAAATAAAAATATTTTTTCAAAATCATTTTTTACCGGTAAATTAAACCGCTCTTATCTATGGAATTTTACTGATCGAATGGGCTCTTCAAGTTCTATCCAGAGATCAAATTCCGGCATTTCTAGAGAGATTCCGGCAGAAATTCCGTTAAAATCGCTATTTTTCTATATGAATTGTTTATTAAGTGGGCGGGGTTTAGAGTTGAGGGACGGAGCTTCTTCTAAACTTCTTCTCCGATTTTTATTTATCCATCCATCAAGTTAGAGGGGTGACTGCATTCAATTTCAATTTCATTCCAATTCATTTTTCACCGGTAAATTAAACCGCTCTTATCTATGGGATTTTAGGGTAATTTGAACTCGATCAGCACAGTAGGAGAGTGATGACGAAGTGGTGCAGCTAGGTCCAGCAGCTCCGCCAAAAGGGCTGGTTTCGCTTACCCCAGGACTAAGCCTTGGGAGAGGGAGGACCTGCGCTCTCTCGCAGGTCCGTCCTCTCTTTAAGGCTTAGTCCCTGAGGTAAGCATCAAATTGAGGCGGTTTTTGAGGAATCAGCATACGACCCAGCAGAATACGAAACGGGCTGGTTTGCTTACTTCTCACCAGCGCACCGCTCGCAAATTATGCAAGACTGATTACGTTGGATCGCCTCACAGCTTACTACTTTCCACTTCCAGTCGGAGTGGGACAAGTAGTACGGAATTTGGTTCGTGTCCTCTGATACTGCCACCGGATACCATGGCATTTCCGACACAAATTGAATACAACATCGAATGTTTGCCTCTTCCATTATAAAAGTAACCGCTCATTCACTTTTGCTGAAATCCATTTCAACTACAGCGAAGGAAGCAATTTTTGGACAATATTTACCATTTTGAGACGATACCTCCCCCTTTTGTGTTCGCGGCCCCGCGCCCGCGCGCCGCCGCGCGGCCCGCCCGCCGCCGGGGCGCGCGCGCGGCCGCCCCGCCGCGCCCGCGGCGCCCGGCCGGCGCCGGCGCCGCGCGCCGCGCGCCGCCCCGGCGCGCCCGCCCGCCCCGCCCGTTTTTTAAAAAAACAACCGGGGCGGGGGGGGGGGGGGGGGGTAATGAGCTCCTAGAAGTATAGACAGACTACTTGTGCAAACAGCGTTGGGTACAAATCCCTCCGAAAACAGCTTTTCAGACAAAAGCTGTGATAGTGCATTTTCAACGTGTTCATGTTGTTCGGCTAAAGTGCAGCACAATCATCAGTAATAAAAAGGAGGGGGTAGGGAGACGGACAAATACATCACATTCAAAATGTTACTAATTCTTCCACTACTGGTTTCTTTCCTAATCAATGTCAACGCCCAAAGGCGTGAAATGAGGGTGAGTGCTGTCTTATTTGAGACTAATGCGAAACACGGTAACATAAGTCATCAGGATCGCCTGATAATACTTCCATACTAGCATAAGAGGGCACTTAATTCAGAAAGAATCACCAAGAGAGCAAATCGAACACTCGTAGATCTCAACCGTCTTTTGCTGGAAAGACATCGCGAGAAAATGAATGCTGTGCTTGATCGCGTTCTTCGAGAAGTTATATGGTATGCTTTTAACGACAGCAAGCCGTTCCCGAGGAGCTCATTGAGTAGATGCGCATACTTTACTCGAACTCAAGGAGTCGGGTGCAAACGGTGGCAGGTACTTCGATGGAATTCCCCCACTTTAAGCCACTCGTCCTTTCCCTATTCTATTGTCGTTTGCCATTATCGCCGTGTATCGTTCAGAAGCCCGCTCCACTTTTTATTCTGATGACGTATGCTTCACTGCAAGACAAATTAATCTACGACAAACAAGAGCAAAACCTGGTCCGACCTTCTGGCTATGTTTTGAGCTCAAGTTAAACGTGAAAAAGGCAGAGTACTCGACCGGCTCAGGTTGAACGTGAAAAAGACAGAGTACTTGACCACCGATTTGAGTGAGCCAGGCTCTATTAAGATCAGTGGCACTGAGCTCACACGTACAACATCATTCAAGTATCTGGGTCGGCAATCGCGTCCGACGGCAGCCTGATCTCTGAAGTAAACTCCCGGTGAGTGCAGCTTGGTCCAAGTGGCGCTCGATGACCGGCGTTCTCTGCGATAAGAAAATACCAGAGCGACGACTGAAATCTAAGTACAAAACCTACTACTACAGAAGCCGTCGTCCGACCAGTCGCCATTTACGGAGCAGAGTGCTGGCCCGTGACTAAAGAGGTTGAGGCTCGTCTCAGTGTAATGGAGACAAAAATGCTGCCCGCTGGACTTGCCGGGGTCACGCGCTTGGACCACATTCGCAACGATGCCATCAGAAAAGCGGTTCGGTGTGGCTCCCATCGCTGATAAGATGCGCGAAGCTCGCCTGAGGTGGTACGGTCACGTCCTTCGCGCTAATGATGAGAGTGTCCGTAAGATCGGTCTAGACTTTAACGTGCCAGGAAAGCGGCCAAGAGGACGCCCGAAGCAACGATGGCTTGATACGTTGCATGAGGACTTGAAATTAGTTGGCCTTCACCCCGATCAGGCACATAATCGGGAAAAGTGGCGTCGTAATACCAGGAAAGCGGACCCCGCCACAGGGTGGGACAAACGCTAAAGAATAAGAAGAAGAAATTTACTAACAAGAGTTGATCCCCATAGTTGTATCAGCCTGGCCTAACTGTAGAGTTCTGGGGTCGTAACCAGCCTTTTGCCAGTGACTGCTAGCTCCTTCGCACGATACATTTCATGGGAAGTCAAGCTTCAGCTCACATCCAAGGTGGCTGTCTCATCATGAATTTTCATCGTTCTCCTTTTGGGCGGGCGATATAACCGGTTTGGGTGACATGTCCGACCCCTCCCCGTGGGGTCACCCGGGCAACTCACCTCTGGAGCATGCTCCGGAAGGGAGGCCGAGAGCGGACTGCGCGTTCCTTGAGATGCAGGTGGTTTCAGGGGATGGACTCCTTGTCTCCGCAGTGGTAACTTGGTTCATTCCTGAAATGGCTGTGAGGCGTCGTAGGCTAAGTATCCTGCGGTGAGGATCAGCTACGGATGGTTTGTATCTGGTTACCCAAAAGCTTGCAAAAGTCGATGATAGGAATGCAAAAAGGCGGTTAAGGGTCGCCTCAAAAACCCTTGTCCAATCAAGAACATCGGATATCCTATCGGGTACCACCGGCCCGATCGCGATTGTCGCTAGGTGGACTCTCCTCTGACCTTTAAGGTAAGCGACGCCTATGGTGCAGGTATAGGAACGCGCTAGCTACGCTATCCTAGAGTGGAGAATTTCAAGCTCAAACCGCAAGAAGAAAGCCTCAGTACCCCGCACGCTGGGCTCTGCCGCCTCCGACGTTGGGCGGTACGACGACCGGCGAGAGGCTGCACAATCTCGGGTTGCGTAGAACGTCATGGACTCTGGACGAAGACGACACGAGAACACGACATGGAGATTGCCTCAGAATTTGCACTTACAACGCGAGAACTGTCTCCAGTGATGCCGACCTTCGTTGCCTGCTTGATGCCGCGAGTCGAATCAAGTACAACGTAATCGCGCTCCAGGAAACGAAGTGTAAGAAGACCGATATACGACATTTCTTCGATGGAACTCTTGTCATTCGTGGTGAGAAGTTTCCATCGCGAAACATCGGTGGCGTCGGGTTCGTCGTTCACCCATCTGTCGTCCAACACGTTGACTCCTACGAAATCCTCTCTCCTCGCCTTGCCATCCTCCGTCTTCAGCCGCGGCGTCAAAAGTCCATCTGTATCATCAGCTGCTATTCACCACACATGGGCGCTGATGATTCCGAATTAGACGCATTCTACGATCAGCTGGAGGAAGTCATCCGCACCGAGAAGTCCTTCTATAAATTCATTGTCGGAGACTTCAATGCGAGGATCGGTAAGGTGGAAGAAAAAGAAGACAGGATTGGCCAGTTTGGGATTGGCGAAAGGAACGAAAACGGAAATCGGCTTGCTGGGCTCATGTCCGCGACTCGTCTCTTCCACGGTAACTCTTTGTTCGAGAAGAAGGAACATCGCCGCTGGACATGGGAATCACCCAACGGCACGACACGTGCCGAGATCGATCACATTATTACGAACAGGAGACGGTGCCTTTGTGATGTCGCTGTAGTGCCATCTTTCTGTACCGGATCTGATCATCGGCTTCTTCGGGCGAAAATTCGTCTATCTACCAGGCTTGAAAAACGAGCCTTGCACCGCCCGAAGACAAGAAGATCGGTCGTGTACGATGAGAACATCTTGAACGAGTGCCTTTCCCAACACTTGTGGCGGATCGATGAGGACCCAACGAAGGATTACGAATTGCTACTCGAGGGACTTCAAGCCTGTGCTGATGCGGCTTCTCTTACTCAGCGAAGGAGCTCCGAACGCATCTCGACGTCAACGAGAGAACTCTTGAGTAAGCGAAGGAGCCTGCGACTTGATCCGAATGCAACCCACCTCGAGCGACTGATTGCTGACACCAGTTGCAGAATAGCGCTGCAGGAGGACATACGACAGTTCAGGCAAAGAAAAATCCTCGAAGCTGCACAAGGAAGATCAAGTATAAAGAAGTGCAAGCGGGACCTCACCGATCATCGCGTACCACTTTCTGCTCTCCTGAGAGAGGACGGAACCCTCACTACTTCTAGAAAGGAGATGGAATCTATAGCGGAAACGTTCTACACAAGTCTATTCCGCTCCTCCACACCCGTACCAGACCCTGTTATCCCCACTGCCCCCCGACCACCTACGATCCTTACCTCAGAAGTCCGAGTTGCCATCGACAGCATGAAGAAGGGAACTGCTCCCGGACCCGATAAGATCTCGGTCGACTTCCTTAGAGCAGGGAAACACTCACTTCATGCCATTTTGGCAGCCCATATGACGTCCTATCTTCGAAAGGGAAGGATTCCGGACCAGTGGAGAACTTCGCGCACTGTCATTCTATTCAAGAAGGGTGACAGAGAAGATCTTCGTAATTACCGACCAATCAGCTTGTTGAGCGTGCTCTACAAGCTCTTTACGAAGATCATTCTAACGCGCATCTCGAGTACACTGGATGAAGCGCAACCAGTAGAGCAAGCTGGGTTCCGCAAGGGATTCAGCTGCATGGACCACATCCAGACTGTCGTGAGAGTAATAGAGGTCTGTCGTGAATACCATATGCCTCTCGTTCTGACCTTTGTCGACTACGAGAAAGCCTTTGACAGCGTCGAAACGAACGCCATCCTGTCAGCGCTGGTCGACCAAGGAGTGGAGTCATCCTATGTTAACATCTTAGCTGACTGTTACAGACACTGCTCAACGACGCTACAACTGTTTGACCGTCCTTTAACCATCCCCATCGAGAAGGGCGTCAGGCAGGGCGATACTATCTCGCCGAAGCTGTTTACCGCGGCGTTGCAGTGGATCATGAAGTCGCTCGACTGGGACGAGAGGGGCATACGAGTGGATGGAAAATTCCTATCCAACCTTCGATTTGCAGACGACATCGTCTTATTTTCGAATTCTATCACTGAAGCAGAGACGATGCTCAACGAACTTAACGAAGCTGGAAGTAGAATTGGACTACGAATCAATCGGAAGAAGACACAGTTTATGAAGAACTCCTGGTGCGAAGAACATCACATGACGATAAATGGTTTGCAGATACTGGAAACCAATTCGTACGTGTACCTAGGACGCTCGATAAACATGAACAATGATCTCAAGGAGGAACTGGACAGGAGAAAGAGAGCGGGCTGGTCTGCATTCGGGTCTATCAGAGAGGCCACTGACCATCTTTCAGATGTAGACCTGCGAGCCCATCTCTTTGATCAAACAGTGCTTCCTGCGCTCTGTTACGCTGCAGAAACGTGGGCCGATACGAATGCCACCACGAATACGCTTCGAGTAACGCACAGAGCGTTAGAGAGGTGTCTTCTAAAATACAACAGGCGCTCACAACATCGAGCAGGACTTCGTAGTTCAGATATGAGGGTGATGTCTCGACTCAGAGATCCTGTGGAATACGCTTACAAGGCAAAACACAGGTGGGCCGGACATATCATGAGGAGAACTGACGACAGGTGGACGAGAAGGACAATAGAGTGGATCCCTAGAGACCACAAGCGTCCTCTAGGGAGACCACCTATTAGATGGGCCGACGTGTTCGTTAACGTTCTGAAGTCCGCTATGGAAACTCGTGGCCGTCAAGGAAGAAAGGTATCGTGGATGACGGTAGCGAGAGGACGAAACGAATGGAATCTGTGCGGTGGCTCGCACATGGAGTGAAGACGAGCCATCTAAGTATCTAAGTAAGTTAAGATATAACCGGTTTTGGGCTCAATAAGCACTAGGGAACGTTTTTGACATGTATTGACCTTCAATCTCCAGCTCAATTGTTTGGTTCATGCTCATTGATTGCGTTTGAGGTTTGAGAAGGTAAAAAATGCTCAAAGTTAGCTCTTGGTGGTAGCGTTTGGCGGAAGCTTCATTTCAAATGGCTGCCAAGCTAGGGCTAAGTGTGCTAGCGAAAAGTGCGCATTTTCGTCCGGTAGTGCTACATAGTGGCTCGACGTGACATAGGCAGTGCAAAACTGCTACAGGTCTGCCCTCAACTGAAATACAATAGTGTGTGAGGTGAACTGAGAGCACTGAGCGTGCACTCTTCACCTCAAAATGTTATTATTACGGCCCAAAACGTGCTAGTGAAAATTCTAGCATTGTCCTTCTGTGTTGTTATTGCATGGAATTGGCGTTTCGTAGTGGGATCCTGGTTTACAGGCAGTGTTAGAAACGTGGCCCTGTCTAGCAACACTAATCTTTGATTATTCAAGTTTCTACTTCCTTTTAACAAACTTCTGCTGAATCAGAGGCAGATCCACAAAGCCTTGAAGATTTCCACCAACTGCTGAGGGTGCAGCACAATAGGGGTGGATGCAGAGGGCACTTCTCTTCAGTCTGAATGACGGACAGCAGTTAGGTCGTAGACGAAGCGAGGCCGTCTACTAATTAATTGGAAAAGGTACCTCAATTCTTCCTGGGAAGTAATGAGGCGGTAAGGATAAAGCCAGACGGGATAAACACACCGGGCAGAAGAGATGAAGTGAGAGCCAATTAGCTGAGTACCTGCAAATATTGGTCTAAACGTGGAAGGGAAGATGTCGCGGTTACCAAAAGTAATAGTAAGAAAGCTGCGTAGAAAGAGGCGCTGGAATTCAGAGCGTTGAGTTGTCGTTTATTGCCTTGAACTGGTTTGAGTGCAATTCCTTGCAGAGGATCTGTGACGATACTCTTAGATGAAAGCGTGTAAGCGTCAAAAGGCGCAGCTGGTAACTGAAAGGATCAAAAGGAAAAGGAAGAGCTAATTGACGTTATTTGTCTATTGCCCTTCGATGAAAGGTATTCGCTGTAGTGGATTGCTGGTACGTGATGTGCAAGTGGAAAGCCTGCTCTAAGAAGGGAAGTGTTTAGGAGTATGGCAAGCGCTTCTTCAGAACGGTTTTTAACACATTGACGACATTGAGACGCGGTAACGCGTCTCACTTTGCGCACCTCGTTGGACATTGAGACGCGTTACCGCGTCTCACCCTTATCATCCCTTTTTCTAGGGCATGCGCAGCTTTTTCCCGAATTGTTTGTCTCTCTTCTATGGATTAGAACATAACATTATTGTGAACGACATAGGTCATTGTTTGTTCAAATATGCTCCAGTTTAGAAGAAGTTTTCCAAGCTCACCGAAACCGGCGGCTTGGTTCATTAATAGTTTTCATGCTATTCTCATGAACACGTCAATAAAAAAGGGTAGTGAAAGTAAATGCAAATCTAAAGAGACAGAAAAATACATGTTTCACTTGGTATAACCACATCAAAAGAGCTTTTGGCATCCACTACAGATAAAATGACTAAAATTTCCTTTTTCATTACCATTACATGTTCTTTAATCGGAACTTCGTCACTATATACTCTATTACCTTCTACGCATTGACTGTTACTGAGATGTTTTTGTACCACTGGTGCTTTAAAAAGTTATCAATAAAAATTCACGGATCCGAGGTGCGGCGGTCGCACTCGCAAAATCGGCCCGGTCCCACACGGCCAAAAAAGCCAAAACGCGCGCGGTCGTCAATGTGTTTAAAGCATGTTATACGATTTGTTATACGATTTCATTGTGGACTTCAAAACCGAAGTCCATATTCACTTGGTTCCGTGAAGGCCGAAACGTAGTGAGGAAACGGTCCGGGATCTAGTCCACGTGATGACAAAATTTTTGCGTTTAGCTTGGAGCTTACAAATTTGCTCCAAAAACAGCCAGCTCTATTGATAGGTATCGCATTCATTGCCAGGACTATCGGTAAGTATTCACCCTGACTTTCATCAGAATCTCGCGGTAAATGCTGTAGCGCTAGAAGGGCGTCAAATGGTGCCGAAGTGGCGTAAATTGGACTTCATGCACCATTTCATTCCAAAGTTAGCGCCGACAGGACTCGCCCCAACCTCGAAATCAACGGAGGAAATAAGCGATTTGTTTTTGCCTCGGCTTCTCTATCAGTTTTTTCTTTCACCTTGCACCCCTTAGCAACTATACTTTCATCCCCAACAGGTGAACAATCCATTTTAAACGTGTCCCCTCCTATGTCCCATCGGAATTTCGAACACACCTGAATTGCGCGAAAGCTTGGCGAAGTCTTTATTCCAACTACGTAATTTGGTATTGAACAAATGATTCGAGTCCTCTCAATATGATGGCACTCAAATATTACTATGCACATATAGTTTAAAACAAACGTCAACAGTACTTTGTGGTTCGCAGTAAACACAGGTAGCCGTTATGGTTGTGTATCCGTCTCTTTTTGAGTAGGAAACGCCATTGCATCCGTACCGTGAACCATCTCGAAGATTTTCAATCTGAACGTACTCTTTCATCAAATTTTAGCGAAACTGGCACAAAGTAACCCGCAATGCGGATTTAAACGGGAACTTGCCTCCATCCTTTCGCTTGAATTGATAACGACTTTGGTGCTATCTTAGTTGGGGGGGGGGGACCACGCGGCGGCGCGGCGCTCTGTTCGTCTGCTCCTCCAAGGCTTAGTCCGCCGATGGCGCGTATTTCGAAACTGCCACGTGGCGACGAAATAGTAACTGCCCCTTGGACTAAGCCTTAGAGGAGCAGACGAACAGAGCGCCGCGCCGCCGCGTGGTCCCCCCCCCCAACTAAGTTAGCATCGTCAGAGCATCGAATAACCTTTGAAGGCAAATGTACGATTGTTTCAAAGTACACTGCACGAGTGAAGATGTTTTACATGATATTGGCGTGGGCTTATCTACCGGAATAGGGTATATATTACATTACTCCAATGCGCGCCTTGGAGTGCGTTAGATGGAGGAGCTGAAGATTAAAATCGACCATTATATTACCAGGCCATTCTCGAACGCTCTAACTTTTCAATGAGGACGAATTACTACTCAAAAACGGTGTGCGCCTTAACAGTACTCAATGCTGTGCTCAAGAAGTATAACGAGAATTACACCTCTACGAAATTGATGATTGGAATGTGCGAAATGTGCGATTTTTCAAATTCCGTAGTCATAGGTTCCATTAGACACCATAAAAGTTTCCCAAGAATGCTGGGTTATGAGCAAAAAAATTTCCGCGGTGCGACCCCTAGATCTTACCCACATAGAAGGAGCTACCACTGCTTAGGTTACGTTAGCTTAATGCAGAGCCCAGCACTCAAGATCCCTCCACCCTTATTCGGTAAATGAAAGTTACACGACCCTCCTAGTTGCGGAATCCGAGCAATCCCGGCCACACTAATACCTCCATGATTATTAAAGCTCTTAC